TCCTACATCGTTGACGCTGATCCCTAACTATAACGCTGATTCGGCGAGGTAGATATAAACTATTCCAACTCTTGTTGCTAACTGGCTGCGCGCCGGCTATCACGACCATCCCGACCGTCCCGACCATCCCGACCATCCCAACCATCCCGACCGTCCCGCTAGAATCTGATCCTACGACGCTGATCCGGCCGAATGGAACCTGATCCCAGACGCTGATCCCTGACGCTGATCCGGCGAAGTCGAATCTGATCCGGAAATTGCCCCAACACACAAGTGTGTTGAGTGCGATTTCCTTCTGTAGCAGGTGGGATAGCAACGAAGGCCAGGGGCAAGGAGGTAGGGGGGAGGGTGGGTTCGGGTGGCCCGAAGGCATTGCCATCATTGGCGTTCAGAAAGCCGCATTCGGCGCTCTTTGACTGAAGCCTAAAGAAACCTAGAAAAAGGCCTCCAGAAAACGAAAAGCAACAGGAAAGAAAAACCAAACGGACCCAGAAAAAGTCACTCACGTTTCTCGCTCTCCTCCGGCCTGTGAATACGTAGCAGCATCACCTAAAGAAACCTAGAGAGAGGCCTCCAGAAAACGAAAAGCAACAGCAGGAAAGAAAAGCCCTCGCTCTCTTCCGGCCTGTGAATACTTAGCCGTGTGCTATGTACAGGTGGCTACTTAGCAGCATGCGAGAATCCTGACTGGAATTTGACCTCAGTAAGCCCTGCGGCACAGTATCAGTGGTATCGTGCAAAGCGGTCAATCAAGGGGGTTGCAGAACGAAGTCCCAGCGCTAGACGGAGCTATCAGGGTGGGCCCCCCAGGATCTGGGTCCGTGCACATGCTGCGCCCCTCGACGGGGATCACACCACAGCCCTCAGTGGGGCTCTGTGGCGACACACACTTAGATGGTTGCTCGCAAGAGCTAGGTTCAGAATGAAGTCCCACTTTAGCGATTACGATACCAGCTGCATTGTAGACCTTGACTTGATTCAACTGTAAGAAGTGCTGGGTCCGAATAACTGAATGTTTGAACATGGGTGAAACTTGACGAGGCAATTAAAATTAGCAGGTACGCTGGGGTGATCAGTCCCAGTATCACCAGGAAATCGAGAGTGTCTTCGTTGGTGGCAGACTCTCGTTCCTGCTGCCACCCCCTGCCTCTTTTTGCTCGCGCTGTTAAATTTAGTTTTACACGTTAGACATTGTGCGCGGCCTTGGAAACAGGCTTTGACACACACACACACACAAACTTGTGATCGCCAAGGGCTGCACATTGCTGTCGCAAATGTCTTGTGGGTACCTCAAGAGCTGAGCATTCCCATGCCACCTACATGGCCAAAGGCTCAGTTTGGTTAAAAGAATGAGATCGTGTGTGATCAAATCTGACTGGGCCCCAGACGGCCATTACGCCTTCAACATGTTCGAAGACCTGCAGTCTTAAAAATGAGAGGCGAATCGCAGTTTGTAAACAAATATACAGGCTCTGCATTGGCATCACCCTCAGGCTTGCGCTGGTATAGAACGCCTGATGCATAGAGCCAACAGCAGTGTACAATACTATCTTGAAGTCAGTGTCTTCTTTTTGTCGAATGGATGTAGATGAAGATATATAAAGCCCTAATGACCCATTCATGTATTTATATATATATATATGGATATATGGACACCCCCCGCATGATCTACCTAGAACTGCTCTGTGGTCCTGCGAATGCAAACACAGCGTTTTTCATTAACTAACAAAATTTGGTTGCACACCGACTGCTAGCAACTACAAGTGACTATGCAAAAAGTATCCCCAAAGCCTAAAGCTCTTGTTTAAATCAACGACAAATTGAACACCTCCAGTTCTGAGAATATTGCTGGAAGTGAAAAGGGTTTCTTTTAGTGTTTTTTTGGTTCTGAAGTTGTTTTGGTCTTTTGCCACAAGAATCAACAAAGACAAGACGAGGAACCAAACAGCAAAAGGACACGTTGGTCACGTCCGCCAACATTATATAAGAACAGTGAGTTTGTTGTGTTGTGTTGTGTTTCTTTCTTGTTTGGAGTTTTGTGGCCACTCCTTTTTCGTTGCATAGCCTTCTTGTCGCTGCACAGCCCAGAGGAAATTGATCTATACACACAAGATCTCTCTTGTAAAATTGCGCCATTGAGTCATTCCCATAACTGTTCTGTTTCAATAGCAGCTGTTCTATTGTACTAAGCCTTCTCATCTTGAAGCTATTGGTATGCAAAACCTCCCTAGTGCAGTATCATGTTCTTCGAGAGTCGCAACTCTACATGAAAAAATAGAAAGATTGTGCAATTCTTCGTACATTTCATGGTATTGAGTGCACATTCAAGAGAACATGTCGCCTTGAAGCACCTTGGGTGAAGAGTCTGTATTCCTGTGCAATTTCTTGAACTAGTGTTTCCATCTTCTCTGGTGGTCAGGGCAAGGTCAATCAATCATATTTCTGTTCTAACTCCTTTCATGCTCGACTGATGCTTCCATTGCCTGATTACCAGCTATCTTCAAGAATATATCCTATTCACAAATAGAAAGAGTCTCATATAGCAATACAAGCAAGAAGCAACAAAAATATATCTAGTTGAGCCAAAGACAAGACCATTGCGGGGAAGGCATGTTGAGGAAAGAGTAAGCCAGTTGTATATGCAGGAAAGAGCTGAATAAGAGGAGGAGCTAACTAAACGCGCCCGGCTAGTGACATTGGAGTTGTCTGCCAGGGTCGTATTCGTTTTATGTGTTTGGCCTAATGACACAGGGGTTGTGGTGTGTCAGCAACTTCCTGATGAAACAGGTTCTTTCTTTCGACGATCGTTTCACAGCTCCTATGTCACTGGCCCGTACTACAATACTACAAACAAAGATCTAGACTCTAGACATCAACGAGTGGCCAAATATATAGATATAGACGGTAAATCCTTTTGTATCTTGTGTAGCTCCTGATATTCTTGAGTATAAATATAATTGCTTCCAATATGTGTTTCTCGGTGATCGTATCCAAGAAATGGAAAGAGCTAGACAAGACACAGAAAACTACTTAACCAAGAGAAAGAATCCTTGAGAACAGAAAGAGTGTGTGAAGAGGAGGATAAGAAAAATAACAATGGAATAAGTAAATAAAAGATCATACACAATTTCAAGCAAAAATTAAACATTGAAATATGGAAACTGAAGTAATAGTAATAAAAACATTGCATTGATAAATGGATGAAGCCAATCAAAATAGGAGAGAAGAGATGACAAAGGAGGTCGTCAGCAGGGCAAACCAAAAATATAATGTCTCTGAGCATGTCTATGCATGCTAGCCCTGCAAAACCGATGTCTTTTTGCGTTAGCAATCGTTGTTGTGAGTGTCCAATGGATTTTGCATCACATTTTTGTGCTCCAAAATATCCGCATTCTCGGCTCTCAGTTTCTTGAAACGATGTCATTTAAACACAATAGGAATCTCTTCGGGGTCCTATCAAATATTTGCAATGTCCTCTTTAAACATGGAAGGATGCTCCTTCAAAAGCGAGGTCGCTCCTGGCTTAAATGGTTTAACGGAAGTGAAACACCTCTATATAAAAAAAAGAACAAAGCCTGTTTTTTGAAACGAAACATACACACAAATAAACTGCTTGTATACAAAGATTGATTTTCCTTTGACGAGGCAGGAACTCCTCTGGAGATCAACTTGAGGCCGAGGGTAGGTGACGAAAGCTAGCAGGGGTGCATCCGGACTGGTGGGACATCAAGCGGAGTGAGGCAAATGCTCATGAGGTAAAACGTTGTGAACATGTAAGACACACAAACAGCAATGACACAGCCAACCTTAGAATTGAAGTCCCCGATAATTAAGGAAGCGTGGCTGGACTTTGCCACACTGTTCGATGCATCCGATGTGTTCACGAACCTGTGAGCTTGTTGAATCTGTTGCACCGTATCTCAAATCCTCCACGGAGGAGTTGAACCAGTGTGGATGCCATAAGAGGTGCCCAAGAGGTGTCCCAGAGGCAAAACAAAGCTGCTTGCATGATTTGCTTGGCTTCTTCTATCGATGTCGATGTCATGAACATGTGAGCTTGTTGAGTCTGCTGTTGGATCGTCATGTATATGTAATGAGGGACTGAAGAAAAGCAACGCAGCATCATGAGCATCACGGGAAGTCACAAACCAGGCGTATCAGATACACCTGGTTTATGTATGTTTGTTTGAGCATCTTTGTCGAGTGAAGTGTCAGCCATATGCACTGAGATGCCGAGGGGAGCTCAAAGGCACGTGTATCTGATACGCCTGGTTTCTGACTTCCCGTGATGCTCATCATTGAAGCCTTGAACCCTCGCATAAATTTCATGTTTCATGCCCCCCCTTCCAAACTCAAACAGTGGCCTACTTCACCTGCCACCTAAACATAGCACTATAGCACGCACCGGAAGCGTCCCAGGGGGGAGTTGAACCCGCGGAGGGGGGGGGCCCCCCCTACACGTGAAGTTTTCACGTGATTCATGATTCTCGGGGCTGCGAGCCCTTGACTTGCTAAAGCAAGAGCAACTCCAGCTAGCTGATGCTAGCTCTCGTGAAAAATGTCATGAACCATACCTCCCTCTGGTAGGAATCCCTGTGGTTTCCTTCATTCTGAACTCTAAAGACTTTGCTCTTGACATGATAGGGCGTCTTGTCAAAATAAATATATTTGCAGTCAAACTGAAAGCATGCGCATTGAATATGACAGGATGATTAGATATTGTGTTGACATGAACACGTGTTCTTTACACCTGAAATGTTTCCCCATCGTGTGTCCACATCTCATCTTTACAAGCAACGTATCATCCTTTGTGAGTGTTTCTTTGATGAGGGCCCCACGTCTGCACATATCATTTCCCTTGGATGTTCCTGCATTTCATACCCAATTGTTTTCTTCAACAAAGCTGTCTCTGCTGTTCGCCTTCGGCACCTAACAAGCTTCCTGAAAAAAACAGTTGCCATTATCGATAAGAATGGGTGTATGTTCAGTCCTTGTCCTTGTCAAAACACCGTTTTCTGGGTTGCTGGACCCAATCCCTTGTGAATCTTGATTCACATAATGAACAGGGTTAGGCAGTGCTCCCCAGAGGTTTCTGACAACTGTGGGGGTGTTTCCACCAAGGATAATTTCAACGTTGCAAGGCGGTTCAGAACAAAGGATCATTCAATGCATGAAGGAGACTGTCATCACAAAAAGTGAGGCCCTCACAAAAAGAAACACCCTTGTTGAAAATGCAATGCCTCAAGAGAAAAAACATTTCTTTGCATGGATTATGGACGAAGGATGGGACCCCTCGTAACCAAGGAAAAGCTTTGAGATGAGCCAGCTGACAGAAATGGTTAAGATGCGTGTGTGTGTGTGTGACCCTTGAAGTCACAGGGTTCCTTTTGGAATGTACTGCTTGCTTTTTACTTCGGTTGACAGCAGGGGGCAGGAGCACCATTGCAAGTCTCCTGCCAACGACACTTGCAACCGGTGGTGATACCAGACCTGATCAGTCTGGCGTACCTGCAGCTTTACCAGAGTCAATTCCTCGTGGCCCCTGCTTGTAGCTAGAACAAGACGTCCTTTTCATCGGTTTGTCATCGGCAGATGTGCATTGTCGCTTTGGATGTGCCGATTTGAAGTTGGAGGCTGTGCAGATTTTGAGGAATTTTTGACCACCGTATTTACCCCTGTCCTGGTTTCTTAGGTTTTTCACTTAGGCTGGCGTGTGGCACCGCATTCACATCAGTACGCAGTTCTATAAGTGTGCGTGTCAGGGAGGAAGGTTGACTTAAACCACATCATTTGATCATCCGTTCAAGATCTTCGGGAATTCTCCACAGTAAGTTCATGGAATCATGGACTCCTGGAATCCTACTTTCCAAAACAGCATGTATGTGTGTCGTTAGTCAAACTTGAGTAAAGACGATCTCTTCCTTGGGTGCAGTTGGACAACTTGGACATCTACGATGTACAGTAGAACTATATATATTATATTATTAATACAATATGCACAAATTGAAACCATTGGAATTGTCTCTCGACCCCGCGAATATGGTAAGCCTTTTGTCATACTAGCGCCCGCTTTGTACCAACAACAAGACATGAGAGCTCGCATTGGTCAAGTTTGGGCTCGGCTGAGCTTACTTTCTTTGGATGAAGCAAAGAAAGCTCAGCTGATAGTGGAACGCACGCACCCTGGATTCATTGGAAAGCATTTGCTTTCTGCAAGGGAGGCATTAGGTCTTGAGTGTGCAGTGCCAAGGAAGACCACACTCTAACTAGAAAATATTTCTCAGCGAGCCTCGGAAACGTACCTGCTCGAGTGGTTTAAACTGTCCTTTAGTTGCATCATCCTCTAGATTTTCAGGCTGGTTGTCCAGGTTCACAGTTTGAGATTTGACACGGATCCTTTTCAATCTACGGGAAATTGTACAGTAACTTTTTGGAACTTTGCTCATCTCGACTTCAAGCGTTCTGCGTGAGACTGGAAACTCAATTTATTAAGGTGTAAGTTTAAGGTGGTTTTGGCCATACCCAGGGGCTGCGTTGACTTGTCTTTTGGTCACACCGTCCACATAGGTTGGGCAGCATTGGTCCCAAATCCAGACATTCTTGCTCATGTGCGCAGGATTCGAACATGTCTTCTGCAGACAAAGCGCACAAGGGAGCATTTGCCCTGCAGGTTCCACACGTTGACCACCTGCGCTCCGGGTAAAGCTGGAACGTACACTCGCATTCGTTCCGTTTGTTCCAGATTCCTTGTGGTCAACGTGTTTCTACGCCTGATCTCTGCCACCAGTCACCAGCTCAAATAGCTGAGTCTTCACACGACCTCAAAAGGAGGAGCTAAAGCGAGACAAATAAGACCACAAACGTGCAATACACTTTGATTTGTATGCAATGGACTTCATGACGTTTTCATGACAAATTAGGTGTGTTCTGCGTCTATGCATTTGTTTCACCAAGAATGATTCTTTGTGCTTAGGATAAGACCGAAGCACATCGAAGAAATGCTAGCTAAATGGTCCTTGCAATAAAAACTTGGCATCATCTTGCTGATCGCAGTCTGAAACATTCCAAGAATTTGTTGATTCATCCCTAGCTGATTCAGCCTGACCTTCATAATGCCAATGCATTGAGAAGATTCGAGGTCCCAAAGCCGGACCTCCCAAGCTTGTCAAGATGCTTGAAGCTATCAAGTTACTTCATGTTACTTCAAGATGCTTGGAGCTGAACACAATTGAACTAGTGGGGGCCTCTGTGTCTGCAATGGTCACCAGCTGGAGCTTTGCTGGATGAAAGCGCCTAGTCAGACCAAGGCTGGAAAGCCATGGAAAGCCATAATCACGGCAAGTTTAAGCAAACCATGAAACCATAACACTTGCTGACATGTGTTGACCGTGATTCACGAAAATTAAGATCTGAGGCCCCTTCGCCAAAGATACTATCCCTGCATGGCCCTTGAAGTTGTGTGTGCAAAAGTATCCTTGAAAGTCCCACACCTGGCCAGCGAAAACACAATTGCTTTCTTATATCTAATACCAGTTTACCACTTTGCTTATCTGACAACCCTTAGTCACCTTCAGCAATGCTTAGCACTCAAATGCAGAATATTAGCCTTCGCCGTTCGGTCAACTGACCCAGTAGCGACCAACGCACCAGTTGCGTCAAAGCTGACATCTGCAACAACCTAAGCATTCAACATATGGCTTGTGGTTTGTGGATTGCCAAACTTTTTGTCAGGCCACCTGCTCGTGGCCTCTCCATGAACGCGCCAGTGCAATCTTCTCACCTAGCCGAAGAAGTACGAGTATAATAAAATATCAGAAGTATCGAACAGATTATATATTATATATGCAGAAGGAGGTCAGATTGTTTGGAGTGGCATGGGGTCCAGGGCGAAAGTAGGTCAGAAAACAGGACTTCTGGCGATTTGTTGCGGATTTGCATTTTGGCACCTGCTGTGATGTGTTCAATTTGTTCGTTTTATTTGACCTAAGGATCATTCCGACTCTTTTTCTTCGAAAGGCAAAAGGCTCACCAAACGGCAGTTGAAGGTCATTCCCACTTGGCAGTTGCTGGAGCTTTCTTACTGAGGCCCCATCCTGCCTAATGATCCTAATGAAAGCAACCCAAAGCTATACAGTATCGCCTCTGCACATATTGGGCAAGATCCTCGTGGACAATCAAAGATTATCACGAACGAACCAACAAAATTACAGTATGTGGACAGTGAGGAGTGGAACAACGAGGCGCAATATAATAGAGTATCTACATAGAGAATTTTTGTAAAAATTGTAATTTGCATTGCATGGCCATATGATGTGTGTATATGTACACATTTGTGTAAAACCCTTGGATAGTCCAAAATCTTGCTCAGAGTGTAGAGAGCAAGAATCCGATAGTTGTGAAGTCCAAAGTTTTGGTAAAGCCAGACTTGTACAGCAGCTAGCATGAAGTGATAGCCTAGAGCGGCGTAGAGATTTAGGATAGATAGAGCATCTGGACCACAAAGAGAGAGCATGATAATAGAGGCAAAATAAGTCCTACCATGTCCTACCTCCCTTATTTTGTGCTGGACTTGCTCTTGTCTGTTCCGTTGTGTATTCTATAGTTTCTGTCCCTTCCTATACCCACCATAGGTCCTTTCAATCTTATTCCTTCGCCCAGTTCCATCAAGAAGGAAACTTGAGGAGAGCAAAAGAAAATACACAGCAGAATCCGAAATAAACAAAATAGACACAAGGGCACAAGGGAAGGTCACTAGAATCTGGCCGTGGTTGCTGAACATGTTACAACGCGAGTCTACTGATCAAGCTTCACGTCCGCATTTCTGATGACTGTTGGCCTAAGGTAAAGTGTCGCAGCAAGCCGCTCCTGACACTGTGCTTCACTTTTCATAGTGACCACATCAAATCACTCTCAAAGGCAAGCAAGGGAAGCAAGAAGTCATCGCACACACATACAAACTCATTGACTCACTGATGATTCATATGATGGCACCTGTGAGAGGTGCAGGCATTTAGCCCCAGGTGGTCAATTGCAAAGGTCAGCACACCATCACCTTCCTGCACAACCCGCCGGGTTGGCTCCTGCCAAGTGCGTATCCAGCAAGCCAAACAGCTCAACAAAGGACCTTGTCAAAGTTGTGGGAGCCTTACATGAAGAATCCACCAAATGGAGTTCTTCATCACAAAGGCCTGTCGTTTACGCATTGTTCTGCTGAAACACTCAGCAACTGTGCCATGGGTACACAAAGTCCAGGCCACGCGCTGAACAATCAACCAACACAGGCAACACAGGCCGGCTGAACAACCTAGAAGATTTGATGACTCGCAGAAAGCAACCTCCAGCTCGCTTTGCGACTCAATAGCCAATCAAGTCAGTCTTTCTGACATGCACTTGTGGTAACAATGTAATGTAACAATGTCTTCGTGTTTATAAAACGCACTCCTTTGCATTTTCTACATCCTTCACACCTGCCTTACCACCAGTGAAGCATCCCACATGACGAGCATCAACAGCCCAGGCCTGGAAAGAGCAATCAATTTTGATTTGTACTTGTTGCTTTGTATTTTGAAAGAAGGAATTGAACTGTCCCAAGGCTGGCCTCGCTGAGAGACGAAGCTGCCGTGGCCATGGCATGATGTCAGCTATTTACAGGTGTGAGTTTTCAAGGCCTTTGCCGCCTTTACCTGTTGTTTTTTTGTGTTTTCAAAACAGTACAGAAACGCAAAGCTAAGAAAAAAGGAAGCCTGGGCAAAATCTTCATTGAGAAGAAATACCCGACTAAGGCCAACTTCAGACCTGCACGCTAACGACAGTCATGAAAAACCTGGACTGCAAATGTAAGATTGTATGAGCGAAAAAATGGTCGTTTCATGTCGCTGCAAAGAGTCGGCCATGGCTCCAATTTCTGTCGCAGCCAACGCAGCATCTGCTGCTGTGCTCGGAATCGATCCCCATAGACCTTTACAAACATTTGGGCAATATGATCAACATAAAACAGGGTGATTGAATACATTGCCAATGGACACAAACAATCTCACAGTGTCTGTCTGCCGAAATCGTGAGGTTCCAACTACAAAGTCTGCACCTGCCAGTGGACTTTGTCCGTAGAGCTTGGAACACAAGTAGTTGTCACTGAAAGGCTCTGACGTGATCACAGCATTCACCGACAAACTACAGATGTTGATTGATGTCAATCTACCACTCTAGGCCTGCCGCGACTGCAGTATCTCGCTCCGCGGAAAGTGATATCAGACCAAGGATAGGTGTCTGAGGTGAGCTGTCCTCCAAATGCAACAGTTTCCATGGGGGGTGCGGCAGAATTGAGAGCTGTGGACAAATCAAAGGGCAAATCGCACAGTTGCTGTTTGGTTGAAATTCGCAACAAATTGATCCAAAGCAAAACTGTCGAGAGAAACTTTCCGGGAGGTTTTGCAGAAACAAACTCCCAATTTCCGTGTCTCACGTTTGGACACCAAAATTCCAACTCACAATTGCTTTGGGGGCGGAAAAAGCGTCGTCCTCTTGAGCGATCTTGATAACTGCTGTGAACAAGTCAAACGCATTCCTCGTAACAGTGCACAACGGATGAATGTCATTCACTGGAGACCTTGTTTGCTTGCTGAGGAAGTGTCACAAGTTATATGTTACATGTACAATGTTTGTAAAAGCTTAGATGTCTGCGCCTCTATATAAAGAGACTAAGCCCAACCAAAAAAATCACCAACAAGTATCCTGTTTTTGCTACACAATCTGGTTTGAAGCATGTGAACCTATTCAATGCGCCATGCGAACATCGCGACGCAACAATATGTTGGCGTCGCAAAAGTGGGCATGACACGAACACAACAGGCAAGAACCAGGGAACCTGTTCCGGAACCCTTTCAAAAGCCTGCCAGCATGCCAGAACGACGCGACGGCTTGAAAACATGCTGGCGTCGCGCCATGCCAGCATATCAGCTTTGACGTGTCCACACGAGCGCATGACAACATGACATCCATCGTGCCAACCTGACACCTTTTGAGCACATCGACGTGACAACACCTAAGCCCCAAGCATGACATCACATTTTGCAAGCTGCATGCCAGAGTGACAACATGTCAGAATGCTGACGTGCGCACGCCATACAAACATGGCACCCTGTCACGCTGACATGTCATCATGGCAACATGCCAGCATGATGACATGTCAGCACGACGCTATGACAACGTCACCATATGTCAGCATGTGTCTGCATTGCTCCGGAACTTAAACCTTGGTAGGGCCGATGGGTGCAGTGCGGAAAAGATTTTCCGTCAGCATGCTTGAAAAAAATATCCCAACTTCAAGGGCTAATATTCGATGTTTTGCTCAAAAAGGGGTCTGACGTGAAGTTACTTCTAGAATTGATGACCCAACCATGCTCAAACCAGCTCGCGGCTCCAAAATCTGAGTTTTTGGTGGTTCTAAGTTAAATTGGTGTACAACGTTTCTAGATTCGCTTTAGACCTTTGACTCCCAAAGCCTCCAAGAGCGTCCATTATAGACTGATTCTAGACCCTAAGTAGCTGAGGGTTTACAAGTGCCATGTCTTTGCCAGCCTACGCACGCTTTTCTTCCAAAGTGCCACGCAAGCATATTAACAGGGTAATACTTCGGGGCAGCACATGTTATCATGTGCCCAAATATGCGCCAGCACGACAACGCCACTACAAGACAGCATGTCAGCCTGACTCCGCGCAAGCATATCAACGTGATAACGGCGAATCATGTCGGCGTGTCATAGCGTATCGGCACGGCGCTGCAAGGTGCTCCAGAACTTGCCCCCTGCCCCGCGCTTTTCACCAGAACCTTCTCCGGAAGCTGGGGGCCTCCTGCGAGAACCTGCTCCCAACTTGCTGCTACTCCATAAACTCCTGAACCTGCTGCTACGGAACTTCCAGGCTTGCTGCGGAACCTGCTCCCGAACTTGTACCTGCTTGACCCTGCTCCGATCTGCTCCGAAATGATTGGAAGTCCCACAAAAGCGTCACCGTTGAATAAGACATCGGTTCTCCCGGCAAGAGACCCCAAACAGCGTTGTCCTTGAGGTGGCGGCGTGCAAAGTCTGGAGGTCTAGACGTTTTGGGTCAAGAGAGATCTAGAAATGCAGAGACCCAAGGTCGAGAGATCTTGAAATGCCAGAGAGATCAAAAAATAGGCGCGAGGGATCCGCGGACCGAGAGACTTGGAGATCCAGGGTGTAGAGGTTTAAAGATTGAGAGAGGACATCAGGAGATCTAGATATTTATTTCAGGGAAGACCAGAACTTTAGAGAATCTAGAAGTCGGTCTACGGCTTAGTGGTCCAGGAAAGGTGTAAGGGGGAGGGACCTGCAAAGATCTAGAGGTCTAGAGATCTAGACTCTAGACGTCTGGAGTCTAGAGATCTTAGATCTAGAGGGTGATATCCAAACAGATCTTGAGATCCAGTGTCCTAGGTCTGGAGATAGAAGTGTAGAGGCGTTGACGTCCAGTCTAGAATGTCTATATAGAGATCTGAGTTTGAGAGCTCTGAATTGCCAGAGTTCTAGAGATTCTAGAGGCCTAGGAACCTTGAGATCCAGACAGGTGGAAGCGTAGTGATCTGGAGGTGTGTAGGTCTAGAGGACTTGAGACGCATAGATATCACGAGCTACAGACCTAGAGGTCTCAAGGCCTAGAAGAGGTTGACAGAAATCTAAAGAGGTTATCATTTGCTGCTCAGCCGTAACAGTTTTGGAATTAGCTTTGTTGATATCCTTCCATGTGGCCCCTAAGGTACATGGGTCGGTGAAGCCCGAACAGAGATCTAATATGATCTAATTAGCTTTGGACGTGACGTCACCTTGTATCTGGTTATCAACTGCCAGTTTCAACAAAGATCAAGTCAAGGCAGTGAACGATGACCTGAATGCAGATTGGGGGAATGCTCGGTTTGTACCAAGTCAGAGTGACCAGTACGTGCATTGCTGAAAGGTGCGGCTGAAAGGTGCGAGATGCCATTTGAATGCGCACGTTTCTATCATTGCACGCACCAGATCGCGCACCAGCGACGACGACGACGACGACTGCTGCTGCTGCTGCTGCTCCTACTACTACTACTACTACTACCACGACGACCACCACCACCACCATAAGAACCCCTAGTATGACGACACTGTTAGGGGAACCAAAACAATGCCGTCTAGGTTCATCTCCCCTCTTTCCTTGCGGCCTCCTCTCTCCTTGCACAGGCGAACATCAAGCAGAATACAGTAAAACTGGTCCCATTGTCAAGTTGACAATTGTTGCCCGAACTAAGTCAGCAAACAAAAATGCCACGCGGTCTCCATCATGGACGTCAAAATTCCCACAACATGTCGCCGTCTGCGACGGAAGACCTGGCAAGATATGCCCTGAGAGGGGGAGGAAGCGAGGAAGGGAGGAAGACGAAGGAAGACACCCTTCCAAATCTGGTTGATTCCACATCTGCACGTCGCACGCCAAGTTGTTTGTCGTTTTGGGCCCTCGAACCTGCAAGAGTTGCTCAGGCGTCCGGAAGCAACAAACAGTCAATCCCTCCACCTGGAGACGAATAATGGAAGGTCTAAATAAGTTGCAACAAACAAAGGCCTGCATTCAGCCTGCAACGTGGTCTAAAATTGTGCAAAAAGTAAGGTGGTTCATTTGCAGTGTCAAGGTCTAGCAGTTTGCAAAAGCTTGCCCTGTCTTTCTGTGGACGTGAGTGTCCCCGCCTCAAGCAAACCAGCAGTGACTCTGTCGGTGTCACACCATAAAACCTGTGATCCAGCACAAACTCTGGAATCTGTTTTGCTTTTCCACAATATTGTCTTGAGAAAAGCAAAACACTTTGCGAAGTTGCCTCTCCTTTCAGCTGCACAGTTTCGTCAATTTTCGGCTGCCCAGGCTCGCTTGTGCCATCCTGAAACCACAGGGTACGGCACATTTGCTCGCTAAAGACTGACTAAATTTCAGACACAAACTTTAATACTTGGGCCGAGGGTTGGTGACGAAAGCTAGCAGGGCAGGGGTGAAGCGGGGGATATTCCGACCGAGAAAGGGGTCCAACTCCTGCCGCCACAGGAATAGTCAGCCCCCTGCCAGCGGAAATACACACATCCCAGAGACGTCCCAGATACGCGGCGGGGGGGGGGGCCCCTACATATGAAGTTTTCACGCGATGCGGCGCTTAAAGCAAGAACAACTCCAGCTAGCTGGTGCTAGCTTTCGTGATAAAGGTCTGCATAAATAGGCATGCACCCAAACACAATCAGTTTTCAATCAAGCTGCAGGCTGCATCCAGGCAGCTGGGGTTGTGCTCCCATTTGTGAATACGACTCATTCAAGTTTGCTTGCTTATTTCCGTGCTGTTTCCCGCTGCAGCCTCGCAGCGCTGCAACATTTCCTGAGTTCGGCCGACTTGCTTGAACAAATACATGCAAGTTTCGCTTGCGTGTAAGTGCTCGTGCAAGTGTTTGTTCATTGCACCTGAGAAGCCTGGACCTCTCGATTTTTTGCTGCTTGGGCTGCTGCTTATCTACTCGATTCAACCATTTCGAGCTCGCGGAAACTCGTTTCAAAGCAACATACACCGGCACATCATTGCCTACTGCAAGCAAGATGCTTTTGTCCAGCGGCCACCCAGCTCACGAGCAATCCGTTCATTTCGTACAAAAACTGCCTTGAAGCACACAAGGATTTTTGAAAGCAAGAAAGCAAAAACCGAAATGAAATATTGCATGAGGCCTGCAAGCCACCATGCACCCTCTGACGTTGTGACATTCAAAAGAAGCTTGCAGATTGGGCTGAGCTGCATCTGTGAACATGCGCTCCCCGAGGTCGAGAAAGGCCTGATGGCACAACTAACAAGAGTTGTGTGGCCTACGTTCGCCTATGTTGTGTTTGACCTCAAAATCCCAGCTGTCCTTGTCCAAATCAGCCTGACGTAACAAGTGCAGTGCAGGACGCGGTGCTTGAAGTGCCAAGTCCTTCAAGTCTCCAATCGAGAAGCGAAAAACTCTAACCAAGTACGCTTTTTGGCTAGTACTGATGCTCTATTGTCTTCAAGCGTGTGGTAACAATACAGGACAGAACCGCTTGACTGCAGTCCTTCCAAGCACTTTCTTGCAATTCTTTCGGCCCAGCTCCAGGTCTTAAAGTCAAAGAAAGGCAAGAGTTGAGGAAGGAAATGGCATGAAAAGAATTGCTGAAGAAAGACAAGTCGATGGATGTCAAAATATCAGTACTTTATTCGTATATACATATACCTTCTGGCAATGCTCTCGCTCTTCATGGCTTGAGTTTGAATCAATTACTGTATATCATGGCAAAGCACTACACGGCGTCTCACCTTTAAATGGCTCTGCATTTAGTGATCCTGGTTGGTGACCAAGATTCCAGCAATGGAACTGTCATTTTCAGCAAACCATCCTCAATGGCACAAACAAGAACAGCAACACGTTAGAAACTGCTCCTCTGACAAGTGAATATGTTTCTTGTTCAATGTACAAAGCTGGCCTGAAGCTCTACATCAACCAAAGCACCACGTTCATCAAACCCTGCAACCCCAAAATGACTGTGAGAACTTCAATCGAAAAAAAGTACAAGTGTCTGCTGCAAGCCTGCCATTCGCAGCACTCTCGCTTTCGCCAACCCCCCAGGTAAGGCAACTTCTATCACCTTCACACTGAAGATTGTTGTGTTCCTTTCTCTATCGTGAAAAATTGATATAGTTCCTAGTCCTAGTGTTTCCTCAAACTATACAGTCAAAAACGCTGCGCCTGGTTAACTTGCAGCACGGTGCATCGCTGGTAAGAAGGATGAAAAGAAACAACCTCAGGATTCAGTATTGCACCCCTGCTTCCCCACAATAACAACAAGGCTGCTGCTTCCCTGTGGCTGGCAGCTTTTGTTCTAAAAACAACAAAGGCACTTAGACATGGTATTTTAAATAGAGAACCAACCCCTCAATCCTCTTTTGCACTGGGCAAAGTAGACTGGACACCGACTCCTCGGCAATTGATTAGGAGCCCTCCCGTGCACTTAAACACTCGCTAGAATTTCTCTATCACTCTGAGCCCTCGATAAGTGCCGCTCGACCAAGAATTTCGAGTTTCACCTTTGGGGCCCTCTGGGGCGCGATCAATATCCTCCTGCCTTATTCTCCGGGCTTTGGCTGCACACATCAGCGTTTCCAGGAAACGTGTGCTATAAGCATCATCAGGCTCAAAGGACGAAGATTTCCAGGACCAAAGCAAAGCAGATAAGCTCCAAAGCCTTATTTCAGCAAGGTGGTTGACAAGTCGATTTGCAATTGCTTCCATCATCTTTGGCTGCCAATTCTGCAATCGGACAAAAGACAATGCAATCATTGGTAGATCTGTAAATGCAGCTGCATCTGGTAACGTTGCAGCCTCAACAGTGACCCACTGTGCAAGTGACGCCATGAGATCGCTGGCACCATCATGTCTATCTCGCGCTCCAATCCCCCATGACACTTGTGCCACGTCCATGCTAGAAAAGCGGCCCAGTTGCATTGGTATCTGTTTGGTGCAGCTCTCAATTGCAGAGGTCACCTCTGGAGAATCCCCCAGGTTCAAAACGCCAAGGCCATACACCGTGTTGGCAAGAGCATGTGGGTTCATTTCTTTAGCATAAGTTGCAACCCACTTTGCCAAAGAGGTACCCAATTCCTCTGCGAGCCAGGGCAAATCCGTTCTCAAGGCAGCACAAGACATCAGCATACTTGCCAGCTCCCGAGCTCTAAATTCCCTTCGGTCAGCAACTCTGGCAGCTTGCCTGGCCAAAAGAACCAATGTAGGGCTCCGCAAAATCTTAGCCGTCAGGGGAGCTTTCTTTTTCAAGGATGCCAATCTGTTGAAGGTTGCAGCTATATGAATGTGATTGAGCATCCCCTCATCCATGGCAGTTGTAATGGTCCACATCAGCTGCTCTTGTGTCTCTGACCTCTTGATGAATGTTGTAAGAGTCACAGGGCTTTGGATTTGAAACCTGAAACGTTGCTCTCGCTCCTCGGGAGTGAGATCATCTTCAAAGCGGCTTCGAGGACTGCGAACTGATCTTTGATCCCTTTGATCCCTTTGATCCCTTTGATTCCTTTGATTCCTTTGATCATTCCAAAGCCTTTGATCCTGCTCTTCGCGGTACCTTTGATACCCTCCCTTTCGCCTTCCTCGCCTTCCTGGCCATTCCCTCACTGGGCTCTCCAAATCACTGGCCATGACACCACCACGCTGTGGAAATCGGTCAAGAGCATCGTCAAATCCTGCCTGGCGTGGTCCAAGTCTCAAAACTGTCTGGAAATTAAACCTTGGCTGCACAAAAGTCGTGAAAATTGGAGCGCACAAATTCACAAGGCCCACCAGCAATGGAATACGACATGCGCGGCCCATTTAAACCTACGTCGCTGTTTCCGAGTTGCGGATCTGTTTGAGGCCTTTTCTGTTCATTGTGCTCAATGAAGCTGCAGTGGCATCTTCTAAGCTGCAGCAGCGTGAAAAAAACATGAAGTCTTGAGTACCCTGATTTTGCCAAGCTCTGAGAGATGGACAGGCGTGAGCTAAAGTCAAAGCTCTTCAGAAGTGTTGCTGAAGATTCGAGAGCTGGACCCTTACCCCTTCAGATTGAAGCCATGCCTGCAAGTCAGAGTTTGGCTCAAATGCCAGTTTGCAGCGGGCATAATTGGAGAGTTTTTGCGTACCTGTCCGCCTTGCAACCGCTGCTGGAAGAACTTTGAAAAGGTCTGGAATCCTCTCAAAAGACAAAAGAAAAAGAAGTGGTCTGAAATTATCTGGAATCCTCTCCAGCCAGCTCTCCAGGATGGCACTTGTGGACACCTCGAGCACAAGTGAAAAAAGAACTATTTATTATATATATAAGCTATGCAAAAGCAAATGCCCAAACAAGAAGCATCTCTACCCTGCCCACAAACCCATAGATAAAAGGATAAATATGTCTAAACCTTGTGGATCCTGTCTGCTTTTGAAGCTGAAGCCATGGCCAGCTCTTCTCTCATCCTAAGTCGTGCCTAAACCTCAGAGTTTGAACGGTCTTGTCACACTCTCCACTCAATCAAGCACCCGGACACGAGCACAACAGTTGTGGAAGACCCTCCGAGCATTCAATCAAAGGCTGGTTTGACTGAGCTCATGTCGAGAAGCTGATTCAAAACTTGTTGTGCTCAGTGTCAAAAATAGTCCGTGGTCACTGAGGACCTATTCTTTTGGATTGGAAGCTACAAAGACTTGAAAGCTCCGGCAAGTCACGTTGACGGGAATGCAGCTGCCTATCGGTCAGAATTCATATTCAATTTCAATTTTTGCCTATATACCTAAATTAACCTATCAAATTGCCCACATTGCTACATAGAATTATTGCACATGCTGACTGTGGAGCAGTCATGTGAAGGTGTCCCTGTGCGGGCATGCTCGAGTTCCCAAAATACATCAGCATCGACTGCATGCAGTTGAAAAATGTTGAAAAGTGTGTCATTGCGGGGTGTCTTCTTCTGCAACCGCTTCACCAAGCAAAACACCCACACAGCACAGGGGCAACCGGACAAGCCAAGCACAGCCCAGCAACACCTCGCCCAGACACAGTGCTTGTAAAGTTGGCAGTTTCCAAAGGTGACGCAAAGAAGCTCGACAGAGGTTGACACAGCGACACAGCGTGGGCTTCCCAGCATGACCGACGTGACATACTTGTGAGTGCAAAGAAGGACCTCCAAAGCACCTACGAACTGTTGGGGAAGAAGGGCTGATGGCACATGGGGGTAATCTCTCGGGATGTTGTGACTACCCCAGACTCTTTAAGCCGATTTGTTGCACAAGAAGATCTGAACAGCACGTTTGCGACAGTTTGCAAGGTTCAGAAAAGTTGTAGGTGAGGATATGGGCCTGGTTCGTAAGGACCAACAGGAGCATGTCTGTCATCACGGCCCTAGGATCCTTTCACATAGCATAGCCCCATGTGTCCTTCTAATCAAATGGCTCAAGGTCGTGGGAAGTCGGTCGCGACAGTCATTTTCTGGTAGTTCTCGATTTTGAAATTCAGCATTATGAAGCAATTGAGAAAGTAGAGTTCATTGCGGCGGAAGGCGCACCCTCAAGTTGGCTGCTTTGTAGCTCGCGTGCCTGCAAATGCCGCCCAACCCAAACCCTGTGTCAAGTTCTATAAAGGGTCCGTCCGCCAGCATGTGGACACAATTCAGGAGCACTTGCATGTGGAACAGTGCTGGAGCACAGTGCGTTCGGAAAAGGTGGTGTCACGTCTTCTGCTAGAAGTAATTGCGCAAGGAGGTGAACATGTTATCGCACTACCTTTTAACACACACCTGGTTGGACTCTGATTGAACCATGGATAGGTTGTCCGAGTGTTGCCTGTGGATACAATGCACAGAGTGTTTCACTCCATTGCCAGCTTGTGCTCAAACTGTAGACAAGTTGCTAATTAGGGAAAGGTCACCAAAGCAACGCTGCTACACTCTCTCTACACGAGTCCTAAGCTTGGAGACCAAAAGCCGGAGTTGTCTGAACAAAAATATCATTCGTCCAACCATTGTTCTACACATAATTTTAGAACCACACTAATACACAGAAATACCTTGGACAACCAATCAAGAACAATCACACTGATATTAAGTTATTGAGATATTGTTGGCTTGAAATCTGCACAAAGTACTAAGAACTATCTTCCTGAGCCGTGTGCCAAGGCACAAGTCTTTCCTTACAATGGGAACTTCGACCCAACACCTTGTCCAAAAACCGCTAAGTCCAAGCCCTTGCTACTTGGTTGTGTGCATTGGAGCATGGTGGTGGTAAGGGCTAAAACAGGAGCATCTCACAGAAAGTCTCATGCCTCTGAAAGGAGGTCTCCAAGCACCCCTTCTTCTGTTGCCTCAGCCGAAAACCACTGAGATGAGAGTCTGAAAATGTCCTTGGGCAGTGTAGAGTCAAGAAGGGGGGCTGCTAGGATGGGCTGAATTTCCAGCACTGAGGCTGGAGCTTCCTGGCTGCTAGCAATCCGGATGCTTCCTCGTTTCACAGTTACAAGGTGCAAATCACAATGTCAGCCCTTTGAGACTGGTTGTCTTCGCCACATGGCCTGCACTCTTTGCAGGTGCGGCCCACGGGCAAAAGCCTTGACCAATCACCTCAGACAAGAAAAACAAGAGAAAATCAAAGCGCAATGGACACCGCCGTTGCCACTTATCGTGAGTGCAGTTTCCAGCCGTCTGCGTTGGTCTAAGGGCATCACAAGTTCGTTTATCCACCTCTTGACCACTTCACTGTGCTGATCCTGGATGTGTGCATGACGCCCAAGCAAGCATTTGTTCACTTGATATTTACCTTCACAACTCACCCAGCTCAGACCTCAGCCACAGCATGCCTGCTCCTTCCAACTGGCCTATCAAAGCACACCGAGATTTCGACAAAGCAAGCACGACTGCATGCTCAAGGGATGTGCTGGGATTGAGACTTGAGCATAGACGGTATGGATGTGCGATATGCTGTTGAGGATGCTGTGATGTGCTGTCGCTTGGGACACCACCTCATATCAACCCGCTTTGTGAATTTGTACTTGAAAGACGCGTCCTACCAAAGGACAAGGCGAAGACCTCAAAAGGTCCAAACGGACGGCCGCGCGTCCTTTCTCGCAGGCTCAACGCTCGAGCCCCACCGCTATGGGGAAAAGGGGTGCAAGAGGTCCAAAAAGGTCAACATGAACCGCATGCTTACATCGGTACACCTTCCTGACCTTTTTGGTCGTAAAGCGGATGGTATACCGGCGCGGGTTCACCAAAATCCCATGGCCAGTTATGCTTGGCCGCAAGTCCTCTCAGAGTGTCCACAAAGTTGGCCTGCATCTCGCGCCACTTCTTCTCAAGAGCTCTCTTATGGACTTTTCTCCCTGCTTCGAACTTGTCGTCGTGCACCAATCGCCAGAACTGCTTCTGCGAAAAGAACTGCAAGATCGTCTTGCGAGCTCCGAACTTGGTGAGGGAGTCTCCAAGCTGCGCCAGCCCATTCACCCATCGAAGCGCCTGGTTCACCGCCAAGGTGAGCTCATATCCAGCTCGCGAATCCCTCAGTCCATGCACTGATGAGAGGTTCCGCGTCATTGCATCATAGATGCCGCGGGAGTCCATGACCACCGCTCCTGCCACCACCTTCAGGGCGTCGTGGAGCTTGTCTCGCTGGATCTTTGTCCCTGCAAACTCCTCCCCCATGGTGATTGCCTGTACGTCAGCGCCGTTTGATCCAAGGCACTGGCGCGGAGTCTTTCCGCTCTTCCATTGCACCAGAGCCACTTGAACTTCTTCCCCAAGAAGTGCCTGACGGGGAGCCACACCAGATAAAATGCCAGCTGCGCTGCTCCGGTCCGGTCAGTTATGTTGTGAGGCGTCAGCCCATGTGATCACTGCCAGGTCATGCACAGACTTGATGTTCCAAGTCGACGGATAAAGCAATCCCTGTCCGCTCTCACGTTTCATCTCCCGGATGAGGCGATTGACCTTATAGAGGGTCTCGATGGTCGCCCGGTTGATCTCACTCAACAGCAGGGAAGCTTCTGCAAGGTACTGCGGAAGAGTGTGTGTAGCCCTCCAGCTCACCGTTCCAAGCGCTCCTCTCATGGCTGAAAGTTCAGCCGCATTGAGGGGTGTCTTCCGAGCCTTCTCCTTGTCAATCTCCATCTCCTCAAGCCATCTCTTGGAGTATTTTTCTTGATTCAAGACGATGCTCATGTCCTTCATCTGGCGGAGGTTACAACCGAATTCGTTCTCTTCCCACTTGCCCCATCTGAAGGCTTCTGCTAGCGCCTTCTCTCGGGACTTGTAGTGCTCGGAGTCCACCAGTCCAGCTAGCAGGAAATCATCAACATGGATACCCGCCAGCCCATGGATCGAGGATGAACCATCTTCTTCTGCCTGTAGGAGCACGAAGCAACACTTGTCACCAAGAAGGTTGCACCAGAAACAAGCCATGCTGTTGATCCTTCCATCAAAACCAGTCTCAAAGGTCCTGACCAACCACATTTGGCCTTCCCAGGCCGCACCTTCTGTCGCCAGACCATGACCAGTTGACCAGGCTTGTAGGAGCTTGCCTTCCTGCCCACAGCATTTGCCAGCTTACTGAATCGGTCACCAGCTCGCTCTCTCTCGAAGGCAATCTTGGCTTTCTCTCGCTCCTTCACCAAGCTGTCAAAGGCCTTCCGAGGCTCAATTCCCTTCAACAGCAGTTGATCATCAAGGACTCCTCCACCGTGGCCAAATGCCCATTGATATGCACTGAATCCACTGGGTCCCACATGACTGTTGGTGGCAGCCGCCGCCAGCTGAAAAAGCTGCGCCACTTCCAAACGATCACCTTCTCGTTGCAGGCGCTCCACCGTCTTCTTTAGGATGCCAATGGTGCTCTCGTCGGGGCCCATGATCCAGTGTGCTTCTGCCGGGGCTGTGGCCAGTCCGACACCAGGTAGTTCATGGGAGCTGGTGTAGTATCGAGCTGCATCTGAAAGAATCCACTTCGGCTGAGGATAAGTCATCAACCACTTTGTCAGGCTTTCAATGACGTTTTGGCTCTTCGGTTCCCAAGCACCACTCTCATAGCGAGCAAGATGATCCACCATGGTCAATCCTGTAGCTCTATCACGCCACAAGATCATCTTATGCTTGACACCATCCTTCTCCTCATACTCAAAGACATCGGCGCCGACTTGCTCGAACGGGTTCGGTGTCTCATTGGTTCCAGCAGGAGGTCGAGGTCGAGGTTTCGATGCCTCCTTGCGTTCTGGACACTCAAGATTTGCAGCAAGTTCGAGTGCCCAGCCCGGAGATCCTCTGGCCTTCAACAGCTGTACCAAATTTGACATACCTGCATGGTCACTTGCTCGGTGAACTCGAAGCATCAGCTGTTTCACGGCTTCCAGACGTTTGCCTTTGGGAGCCTCCTCAGCGTCAATTCGCTTCCGGCTCAGGGCAAGGATCTGATGGTGTTGAACTTCATCGTCCACCAACCCAGGAAGTTCAGATTGATGAGCATCATCAAGTAGTGCTGCCATCGTAGATCCAGGATGTTGCCCCTCAGGAAGTCGTCGAGATAGTGCCGTTGAAGAGGTCAGGTCTCGATCGTGTTCCACATGGAAGATGTACTTCTCAACATCTCTCTCCAATGAGCTCACTTGCTGTTGCCAAGCGTGTCTCACGCCCTTCAGGATCTCCTTGCACATCCGTTGAGGGTAATATGAAGATGCTTGAGCAGCAATGCCTCGACATTCTGCATGTTCATGAGACCTGTCACATCTTTTATTCAAGGTCAGCCATAACTCTCGACTGGAAGTGAGAATCGTCCATGCCTTTCTCAGAGGCATGCCCTGCCACTGTAGCCCATATGCACAGCCGTCGATCCGGATCCAGTAGGGACCTCGCCCATGTCGTCTCAGCATCCTGGTCAGTCGATCGATGGCTCGGACTTCCAGGCAGCAGCGGCAGTTGTTGGCCATTCGCATGGGACGTCACCTCCAGAAGCCAGAACATGGTCTATAGGGAAGCCGAGATCTCATCGCACCGGCGTAGATCATTGCCCGTCGTTTCAGAAACTTGTCCATCTCTTCCGGACTGCGCTCTGTCAGGTTCTGTAGTGCTGAAAGGCGAGTGCACCAAAATGAAACCCAGGCCAGCCGTGGCTTCGCTGTCTTGATGGTCTGATCGAGCTTGCTCGTCCCCTTACGGGCATCCAGGTCATAGCCGCTGAGGTAGTTGATCCGCTGGCATTGGAAACCAGCCTCTTCGAAGGTCTTGGTCAGCAGACTATCCTTAGAGCAGGCGATCTCCATCAGGTCAATCTGAGGACTTGTCATGTTGACTAGCTCTCGCACCGGTTCCATCACCGAAACAGTCATGGCTGCCGCTATGGCCAGCCGCTTGGCCAACGATGGCCGTACCTGCTTCTTGTGCACATTGTTCACGGCCTCGAACTCCTCATTCAAATAGGATGGAGCCAATCCAGCCGCCGTCGAACTTGTACAGGTGCATGTCAAGCAGGTAGCTGGATTCGTAGCGCTGTCGTCAATCGTAGTGTCTGTTGCTGTGCCTCACGTAGATCGCGTGTTGGGCTCATAGTTGGGGTTGAGGTATTGGTGCCATCTGCAGCCTCCAGCCGCTGTCGGCGCATTCCAGCCTTCATCCTGGCTCGTAGTCCGCTCAGCGCATCCCATAGATGGCTCATTCGACTGCGGACTCCTTCTCCTTCTTGCCCTTCCGGGATTTGGTCTCCGCGACCGTCTCCAGAACCGTCTCCACCTCCTCGATCGAGGCCCCCGACTCGACGCTGACTGCATCGATCTCCAGCGGCGTCATCGGAGAAGCAGTTGCTGGCGCTGCTGTCACCATCTTGTCCACCTTCTTCTTGGGCTCGGTCTTGGAGGTCGGTTTGATTGGTAGGTGCTCTTGGGCAACGGCGTCTCCTTGGAGGTCCATAGCCCTGCTCGCTGGTCCTCGTTGTTACGCATCCACCTGACGCCTCAACTCCACTTCCGTGACCACTGTCTTCAAGCTCATGCACATGTCCGCTGACTTCGTGTTCAGGTCCATTGTCTGCATGCCCATGTCCATGTCCACTATCTCCATGCCCATCACCATGAACTGCAGTCACAGTGTCCCTCTCTTCACGCGCGGGCGATCCCAAAATGATCTCATCCAATCTAGTCTCTCAAGATGAGTGAACAAGTTCGGAAGCATTGGGCGGAACCATCATGATATCATGCTCATTCGGTGAAGGTGCTGCCACAACGTCTGTTTCTCCGGCAAGCCGCGAGGATGAAAAGGGTCGTACAGTCTCTTCCGGCATCGGTGCCACCTCAATCTCAACAGAGGGTGAAGCAGGTGCCGAATTAGTCAAGTTGCTAGGTCCGGCTGCCATCAGAACTCGATCAACATGGTCTTCAGGCCTGATCGTACCAACAGCAGCATCTTCACGATGAGCATTCCACATAGAAGCTCTCAGGAGATCTCGCGCAGCTTCGAAGCCAGCCTCATTGCGAGACCGCTTCCTCCTCCGACCATCAGGTCTGCCATCATCATCTCCGTCGTCTCCATCTTCATCTCCATTGTCCGGTTCATCATCAACTGGTCCGTTCAACTGGTTGTTGAGGCGCTGGATCAGGAATCGGAGAGGTGTCCGAGGCTCCAACAGGTCCAGAATCAGATGTCCTCCTCCTCGGAAGTTCGTGGGCGTTTGCCCACCAGTTGCCTGTGATCGGACTTCGATGGGCGAGGTACTCTCCATAGTAGGACGCCA